ATGGTTTTTCTGCAAGGGCAGAGAATTACCCCCTTCATAAGCCCATGGTCTACCACGACCATGACAGAATCGTAGCCGGTGCTCTCGGGGAGGTCGGTGATTAAATCAACCGAAACCTGAGCGAAGGGCCGGAGGGCTGAGGAGGGTATCGGGGTGAGGGGAGGTGTCGTGGGGTGGGTGTTAACCTTCATTTGCTGGCACATGGCGCAGCCATCGACGTATTTCCTAATGAAGGAGCCCATTCCAGGCCACCAGTAGGATTTCTTGACGTTCCATTCGGTACCGGAACGCCCGGGGTGCCCGGCGGTTGGGTGATCGTGATGTAGAGACAACACGCGATGCCGGAGGTCGGGGGGAATGTAGGCACGATCCTTATAGAAGAGAACACCATCGGTGAACCTCCAATTGGAAAGTGCAGACTTCATGGGGGGTGCGCACACCCCGGAGAGGGCGTCCAAGGCTGTTTTCACAGTCTGGTCGGAGGGGTCGTCAGAGAGTCATTGAAACTCGTCTGCGAGTTCAGCGTCGATTAGACGGGTGAACAGGGTGTCGGGGAGGAGGATACGATCCTCGTTATCCTGACCAGCTATAGCGTGGTCCGGACGGCGGGACAAGGCATCCGGTGCAGCGAGCTTTGTTCCAGGAACATGGTGAAGTTCCAGATCAAAGTTGGTGAGCGTGAGGTGCCACCGGGCCTGTCGTCGGGTGAGTCGTTGCGCGGAGCGGAAATAGATCAGGTTCTTGTGATCCGTGAAGACAATGACTGGGTGAGGGTTTCCTTCGAGGAAGTGCCTCCAAGCCTGAAGGGCTCGGATGATGGCAAGGAGTTCTCGGTCATAGATCTCGTAGTTCCATTCGGCCGCGTTGAGGGACTGGGAGAGGTAGCCGCAGGGGTGGTAATCCCCATTGCTATCCGTCTGGAGCAAGACTGCTCCGGTCGCGAAGAGTGAGGCGTCAGTTGCAAGTGCAAACTGTCGCGAGGAGTCGGGGTTCCGCAGAACCGGTTCAGTGGTGAAAAGCTTCTTCAGATGCTGGAATGAAGCCTCGGTAGAATCGGACCAAGAGAAGGGGATCTCCTTCTTGGTTAGATCGAGGAGAGGGCGTGCGATGTCGGAGTAGTGGGGAATGAAATGACGGTAGAAATTGCAGAATCCAAGAAAGGACCGCACGTCCTTGACCGAAGAGGGTTGTTGCCATTCGCTGATGCCTTTCAGCTTGGCAGTGTCCATAGCGACCTGTCCAGGTCGAATGATCATACCGAGGTACTCGACTTCTTGAGAGTCGAAAGTACATTTCTCGGGTTTGAGGAAGAGAGACTCTTTGCGGAGTTTCTCCAACACTCGGCGGGTCCTCTGCCGGTGTTCGTCCAGGTTATCTGAAAAGATCAGGATGTCGTCCATATAGACGATTAACCATCCTTCGTTCAGTTCTTCTGAAAATGTCTGGTTCATGTAAGCTTGGAAGGTGGCGGGTGAATTGCACAATCCGAAAAACATTACCTTGGGCTCGAAGAGCCCGTATGAGGTGGAGAATGCGGCCTTCCACCTGTCGTCGGGATGAATGAGGATATTGTTATATCCTGAGCGTACGTCGACCTTTGTGAACCATTGCGCCTTGTTGAGTTTCGCAAGCAAGGGTGGTATCAAAGGGAGTGGGTATGCATTCTTGATCGTCCATTCATTGATGTATCGGTAGTCCTGGCAGGGGCGAAGAGACCCGTCCTTCTTGCCGACAAAGAAGAATCCAGCAGCTTGAGGAGACTTCGAGGGTTGGATGAAATCTTTGGCGAGGTGTTCGTCCAAAAATGCTTTGACAGCGTCGGTTTCCTTTGGTGAGAGCGGGTAGGCTCGAGAAGACTTCGGGATGAAGCCTTCCTTCGTTTCGATCTTGTGGTCTACTCCCGGCCGTGAGGGAGGGAGTTTGTTCAGGCCGTCCTTTGCAAAGATGTCAGCAAAATCATGAAGATAGGAAGGTACCAGTTCTTCAAATGATTTCTTCTTCTTTTCCTGTGCGTCCTCCATAGCAAATTCTTGAGCTTTGTTGGAGGTCTTCGTGTAGTCCTGCTGAGAAGCGAGGATCCAGAGGTTCCGGAGAGGTTTTGCTCGTCTATGGAGAGCCTTCCGGATTTCTTTCTTCGAGGTCCCGTCCTTGGTGAGCGGAGTGTCGAAAGAGATGTTCTCGATGATCCGGACGGATGTTCCGTCCGAAGCATATTCCACTAGAACTTCATCGTCAGTGAGGGGATAAGTGGAGATCTCCTCAACTTTATCCGCAAGATGGGTCTGTCCGACCCAGACATCGTCCATGGTATTGAAGTCGGTGTCTTCGAAGGGCACGATGATTGGCGCCGTCTTCTTCTTGTTACGCTTCTTGCGTTTCTTGATTTCCTCGAGGCAATGTTGAGTGCCTTTGGGGAGTCGTTTGAGGGGCGAAAAGTCCTCGTCGTCGAGTTCTTCTAGGACAGCCTTTTCTCCACGAAAGAGATAAGGCTTGGCCTTGCTTTCTCGCCGGGAGGCGTTGAGTTCCCTCTCCACCTCCTTTGACCTATTAGTCGCGGGCAGGGAGATCGTATTGGCCTTCCAGTCGATATTGGGCATCATGGCACTAAGCCAAGGTTTTCCAAAAAGTAGATCATCATGCTTGGAAAGTTTCGTTACGTTGAACTTTCCATACATAAGTCTCCGATCGAGACGAATGAATAGCATGCAGTATTGGGTTACCTGTCCTGCCGAGGACGGGCTTCCGTCTACTGTGGTGATCCGGAAGGGTTTCTTGAGTAGGTGGGTCCGGATCCCATTTCGCTTGACGAAGTCATAGCTAATGAAGGTCCCACCTGCCCCTGAGTCGATGATGGCGGTCGACTGAACGGTTTTGGCACTGCAAGAAGAGAAAAGTGTCACCGGGACACGAAACTCGTTGGATTTACCAACAGCTTTAGTATACAATGCGCAGATAGAGGGAATTGACCGTTCGACAAGCCCTCTCTTGAAAAATCCTTTCTTTTGACAAGGTTGACTTCCATGTCTTCCTCGTCAGAAGACTCGTCAAGCTGGCGGACGCCAGACTTGCTTGGCTTCTTGCCTTTGTCTTCTTCGTCGTTCTTGTCTCCTCGGCGCACCTTCGGGTGGAACCGGGAGTCGTTTGCTCGATGGCCCTTCTCCTTGCATTTGAAGCAAAGACCTTTATCGAAGCACTTCTGTCGTTCCTCAAGCGTGAGGGAACGATCAACGTCCATAGCATCAGGATCGCGTTGGCGGACCTGAGGCTTAGGGACGTGCCGGTGCCCGGAAGGGCGTACCGATCTGTTGTTGGACACAACTGCTCTTGATCGCTTGTAGTTGGCTTCCAACTGTGTCGCGGCAGTGTACCATTTGTCGATGGTATTGGGGACGACCTCCTTCGTGTAGATGGCGGTTCGAAGTCCTGGTTTCAACCCTCGTTCGAAGAAGTGGATGAGGGCGACGTCCTGCTTGAGACTAGCGGTGGACGACAGGGTCTTGAACGTCGCGATGTAGGGCATCACGTCACCAGTTTGAGTCAAACCATGAAGCTTGGTTAGAGCCTCAGTCATCCGGTCGATCGGGTGGAAGGATTCGGTGAAAGCCTTCTTGAAGTCCTTCCAGCTACCGAAGTCGACAGCAGGTTTGTCGAAGGCTGCTCGGTAGAAGGTGTCGGCCCAGACGCGGGCGTCTCCATCGTTCATATACTGGAGTGCAACAGCGACCTTGGTTTGGTCGGAGTTGTAGATCGTCGAGTTGATGAGGAAGTATGTCTCCACCGAGTACATCCAGCGCTCGGCATCATCGATGTTTCCATCATAGTTCTGTGGTACTCCAGCCTTTAGTTCAGGCCTGGATACGACCACTGTCGGTTGTTGGGTGGGGCCTCCGGACATTCTTGTTCCAGGGTTCGAGTTGAGGTTGCCGTACGGTTGTTCGTCGGGAAACTCGTCGGAGGACGTGTGGTCTTCTTCCGATTCTTCTTCTTCGGAGTCCGGAGTGTTGGGATCACGTTCCCAAGGGTACTTCGGGATCCAGGTAGTCGTGGTGTCTGTCGGTTAATGGCCGTGCGGATGGCAGGGCGCAAAAAAAGGAAACTTGAATCTTTTGTTACACACTCAAATAGATCTGTTATGCGGAGCCCTAAGAGGGGCGTCGTCCGCTAACGTTCGTGACGTAACCGGAAGGGTCCGGTGTAGCGACTGAGACTGGCGACGTCGAGTCGGCAGATATCAGAGACACGCGTGTCACGTGACTTCTAAGACGGATGTCTTCAAAGTCACTGACGTTCTCAAAGTAAGGACAGTCTTGTCCGAACGATGAGTAGTCGATCGAGGTAGACTTAGGCGCGATGAGCACCTAAGAAAAAGATACTAGAGACTGAAGCTGAGGGGGCTTCAGAAGGAAGTATGTTCGAGGGAAGATTGAGTAGATTCAAGTTAGGGAATCTAGTACAGAGTGACCGACTACTTATACTAAGTGGAAAGGGTTAAGGGCAAGGCTACCGTACTGTAGGTAAGGGCAAAGGGGAAACGGAAAGGGTATAGGTACGCTGGTAGCAGAGCCTGATTAGTGATGTAAGGTCGAATGCGGAATGAGACCGAGAAACGTTGGAACGAGCCAACGGTAAATGATACAATGTGCAGCAAGCACGAGTCAAAGGAAAGATAAGACAAGATAAGGAAAGCCACATTGGTGGCACGAGTCAGAACGAGTCATAGCCCGAAGGCACGTGCACACGTTGGTGCGATAGGAGGGGGATGAGGGACGGGAACGGTCCCGAGGATCCGGTCAACGGATAGTCGGTAGAGAAGTACGAGCCGGAGGCATACGAGGGCGAGGACGAAGGGGAAAAATGATAGGGGGGCCATGTAGCCGATGTTACTTGTAACAGATGCAGATGTTCGGCTTTGAAATTTCCGTCCATCACAAATGACCGGGTGTATTTCCAGCTTGGATCCCTAGTATTATTATGGAGGCCACATAGGTTGAGAATAGGACTCACTCATCAAGAGATTCATCCTCTGACAACAGCACATTAATCCCAGGCTGAGGACATGCCGGGCAAAATAATGCAAGTTCTCCTGTGCTTGGGTTATCAGAACGATGGCCAAAGCCATGCCATTTCATTGTCTTCAACTGCCTCCACTGTCGAGCGACCCTCATGAGCTCTCTGTATCGGTCCTTGCAATGTGCTTTGTCAATATGATGTCCAGTAGATCATGAGGGTAAGGCATTACCGGAACAAGGTGTGGAAACATGCTGGAGGTCATTCGCCGGAGCTTGCTGTAATAGTTCATCGCCGAGGTGCCACATTCAAGGCTGTCCAGTAGAAAATCATTGAGCACTCTGAAGGTGAACACAGTATTTGGCCTGTTAAAAGATGCAGGGAAAAATCTGTGTCGAAACATTTGAATGTCCGGACTCATGGCATTCGGAC